ATGTAGACTCTGTATTGATGTCACTTGTTTCATTCCTGATATTGGTAACTTTTTGATATTGGTAACATGCTTTCTGTCTTTTTAGCCTAATCAGTCTGGCCAGAAGCTTATTAATTTTACTGAACTTCTCATAGAAGCACCTCTCTGTACATGGATTTTTTCTGTTGTTTCTTTGTTTTGTATTTAATATCTGATAAGCCTCCTAAGTGCTGGGATTACATGCGTGTACCACCCTACCCAGTGAATTCTTTTCTAATGTTAGTTTTCAGGTATTTAGGTATTTCCTAGCGATCTATTGATAATTTAATTCTGTGGTGGCCATATACTCTGAAATTATATATAGGACTAAAATTCTTTTCAATTTATTGTTTTATGGTCCAGATCATGATCTATCTTGGTAAAGGCTCCATGTGCACCTAAAATATAGGGCTGTTGTTGGCTAGAGTGTCTTGTGAATGTCAATCTGTTCTAGTTAAATGATAGTGTTGTTGAAATCTACATGCTTTTTCTGCCTACTTTTCTATCAGTTATTGAGAGGGGGGATCAAAATCTCCAAGTTTGTCTTAATGTTAGCGCTGCCATATAAAATACTACAGACTGAGTGGATTAATTTCTCACAGTTTTGAAGGCTGGGAAGTCCAAGGTTAAGGTGGTGGCCTATCAGAGGCTTGGCCTAGCCCCCAATCTAAAATGAAGGCGAAGGCTTAAATAAAGAGACAGGTTTTGGGGAATCCAGGAAAGTCAAAGCTCTCTGGGAGTAAAGACTGTCTGGCAGTAAAGACAAAAAACTCTCCCAGACCGCTGTATTTATTGGGTTTTCACAATTTGGGGAGTAGGAGGGTATGTCAGAGACAAAACCCTACAAAAATGACCAGGACCTTGGGAAACAAAGGTAAAGCCTTGCCAGTTAAAAGAATGTTTGATCTATAGGGTTGAGTTTTATTGCCCTAGAATTTCAGTGCACTGTGAATATGAGGTTTCCCAACACAGCCAGAGGTCTCTTCTGGTCAACAATTTATTCCTTATATAGCCTGGTCTCTGACAGTGGCCCATGGTCCAATTGATGTTGAGTAAGGGCCTACTTCCTGGCTGGCAAGATGGTCACATGTTGGTATTAACCATAGTGACAGGTTCTGAGAACAAGGTGCCCTCGGATGAATCAAGGAAAGTAGTAGAAAAACAGGACAGGGAAAAGTCTGGGTTCAGGGAGCTTACAGCCTCTGGGACTACAGCCACCCTGATCACCCATCTCAATCGCCTTTTATTGGAACCCAGAATGTAACTCAGACCAACAGGAGTAATTCATTATCCCTTTCCATTTCTGCCTCTCAGCTGATGGTAACCATCCTCGGGTGAGCCTCTCACACCCTGCACCACATGCACTTAGTATGGCTGGGGATCATAAGCTGAGTATCAGTAATCGGTTCATTAGCAATCACAGTCCTTTCCCCACAATCACATTTTGGTGTAATTATATATATTTCCTTAAGGTGTGTATGTGTGTGCATTTGTGAGGAGATATAAAATCTTCCGTATTCTTCTTTTTATAGGGCCCCGAAACCTACCAGATTGGGACCTCACCCTTATCTCACTTAACCCTGACTGTCTCCTGAAACCCCGTCTCTAAATATAATTGCTTTGAGGGTTAGGGTTTCAACATATAGATTCCAGGAACAGGGTGGAATTCAGCCTATAGTAGGCTGTAATTGTGGATTCATCTATTTCTCCTTGTAGTTGTCAATTTTATTTCCAGGTATTTTTAAACTGTTATTAGAGGCATAAATGTTATTTTTCACGATTTTTTACTTGGTGACACTCTGCTCTGAAGTTGCTTTGTCTGATATTAATATAGGTACTCTAGCTTTCAACTAGTTTTAGTTTTTTTTGAGACTGGGTCTCTCGATGTAGTTCAGGCTGGCTTTGAACTCATGGTGAGTCTCCTGCCTCTGCCTCCCGCATACTGGGATTACAGAGCCAACATGCCCAGCTCAACTAGTTTTAGCAATGGTAAACTTTTCAATCCTTTTTATGTACTTTTTTTTTTTTTTTTTTTGGTACCAGGAATCGAACTCTGGACCTTGCGCTTGCCAGGCAGGCGCTTGTGTCACCGAGCTGTATCTCCGGCCCCAACTTATTTTTGTATGTAAAGTACATTTCTGGGGCCAGGATTATAGCTCAGCAGCATAACTGCCTGCCTGGCAAGCGTAAGGTACTGAGTTTGATTGTACTGAGTTTGATTGCCAGTAACAAAAAAAAAGTACATTTCTGCCCACAACTTAGAGTTGGCTTTTACTTTATTTCTGTAATCTCTTAACCTGTTCCTTAATTAGAATATTTATTTCTGACCATTTGCATTTAATGTGCATACTGATGTGTTTGTGTCTGAGTCTGTCATCTTACTTTTTTTTTTTTGTCTTTTTAAAACAGGGTCTCACTATGCAGTTCAGGCTGCCCTCAAACTTGCAATGATCCTCCTGCCTCAGCCTCCCAAGTGCTGGGATTATAGGGGTTGCCACCATGCCCGGTTTAGTTTGTTTTTTGTTTGCCTATTTGTTTCTTGTTCCCTTTTCATCTTCCTTGTTCTGACTTTTTTCTCCTCTTTTGGCTTGCTAGCTATAATATTTTGCTGTGTTCTTTAGTGGTTGCTGTGGGATTGGGCAGATGGGCTCTGAGTTGCAGTGCTGGCCTGTTATTCCCTAGGTGAATGACTGGCAGGATGACTGGCCGACCTTCTTCACCAGGCATCGGCTCCAAGCACAGCTGGACCTCATCGAGAAGGACTATGCTGACCGGGAGGCGAGAGAACTCTGGTCTAGGCTACAGGTGGGCACTGCACCTGCTTCTCTGGGAAAAAGGCTATGCTCTCATATCCCTCAACATTCATGGGGTTTTGAGGCCTGGAGTAGAGCTGGTTCAGCTGGGGACACATGAGTGGTCCAGTTGGCTCTGCAGGGCAGGTCTCAATGCTGGATCACCAGATGTCTCATCTGAAATTTTTCTCAGGTGCCTGGCTTATGAGTGGTGGCTTCCACTGTCACTTGTCTCATTAGTAACACCTGCTCACTCTTCCCACTTCTTCCTCTGCCAAAACATGAATGTCTCCACTTTAGTGAAGATGTAGGTCCCAGAATGAGTGGTTTCAAATTATAACTCTCAGCATATTAGACATGGGATTTGTGTGTTGATGCAGGGTGCACAAGCATCAGTGGAATTTTACTTAACTCATTAGTGAAGTAACCAGCAGGATATAAAAGAGGTAGGATACATACTGTATGTGCAGTAAAATAGATGGTGGAGTTTGCTACGTCAGGTTCAAAATTGGCTTCTGTTCTGTAGGGTGATAAAGTAACTTCCGAGGTTGTTTCCTGTGTGAAACTATCAATCAGTCCATACAGTCTCTGAATGAAGTTAGGGGTAAACAGCAAGGTGAACAAAGCCACACTCCTCAAGCCAGGCGTCCTTATCTCTGGGGCTGTAGACAGTGCTGGTGCTGGACGCGGAGGCGGTACGCGGCTGTCTTTGCTTATTTCCAAAAACTGCAAGGAGCCAGGCGTGGTGGCGCACGCCTGTAATCTCAGCACTCGGGAGGCTGAGGCAGGAGCATCGTTGCGAGTTCGAGACCAGCCTGGGCTACAAAGTGAGCTCAAGGCCAGTCTGAACTCCATAGCGAGATCCTGTCTCAAAAAGACCAAGCCCCCCCCGAAAAAAACCACCCAAAAAACCCCCACAAAAACCACCAAAAACTGCAAGGTGCCCGAGTCCCAAGGTAAATCTGTGCAACACCTGCCTTTCCAGGTGAAGATTCCAGATCTGTTCCGTGGCCTAGAGATCGTGCCTGCCCTGCTCCATGGGGACCTCTGGTCGGGAAACGTGGCCGAGAATGACGAGGGGCCCATAGTGTATGACCCGGCTTGCTTCTACGGCCATTCCGAGTTCGAACTGGCGATCGCCCTGATGTTTGGGGGGTTCCCCAGGTCTTTCTTCACTGCGTACCATCAGAAGCTCCCCAAGGCCCCGGGCTTCGACCGGCGGCTGCTGCTGTACCAGCTCTTCAACTACCTGAACCACTGGAATCACTTCGGGCGCGAGTACCGGAGCGCGTCCCTGGGGGCCATGCGCAAGCTACTAGCCTAATAAAGTCGCTGCGTGCCCCGTCGCTCACGTCCCTCTCCCCACGGCGCGGGCGCCGGCTTTCTCACGGCTGGGGCAGCCGGGGGGATGGTGGACGCCCAGGGGGCAGACCACGCCCGCTGGGCGTCGGGAGGAAAGGCTGCGGCCATCTGGATCTGGGTACAGGCCCTGCGCCCCGTGCTGCACAGCGAGAGTGACCAGGTCAGGCAGCGGCTACCTTGGCATGGAGGCACCTGTGCAGGTGGGATGGAAGACAGTACCTGCCACAGGGACAATCCGGGAATTGCCCCGCCCCGCGCCGCCCCGCCCATTTAGGCCCCACCCCGGCCTGCGACCCGCCCCCAACTCGAGTTCAGGCCCCGCCTCCACGTTGACTCCACCCTCTCGGGGGCCAATGACTGAAGGCTCCGCCTCCTTCGCGCTCAAGGCTAGATTGCGCATGCGTTCTCCCGCGGCAGCACGTCCGCGCGCAGATTTTTGGCAGCTGGTGCTCTCCGTAGTGGGTAGGAGGTCGTGGGGCGGGGCTGGTGGCTGCCAAGCGGAGACTCCCTAAGGGGTACTCCTTCGGAACCGGTGTGGTTCTGAGTGACCTGATCGCTGGGATGGCCGTGCGCTACGATCTCCCCGTAGGCACCGCCGAAGAGGAGGCGGAGGACGATGCACCGGCCCGCGGCGCAGGCCTGGAAGCGTTCGGCGAGAGCGAGGAGACCCGCGCGCTGCTCGGCCGCCTGCGGGTGGTGCACGGCGAGCGCAGGGCGCGGGAGGTGGCGGAGGAGCGGTTCCGCGGTGCGCTGCTGGCCGGGCTGGGCGGCTGGGGTTTGGCTTCCTTGCCCCTCTCCCTTCTTTGCCCCGGGGCTAGAGCCCCGTGGGCAGCTGTGTGGACAGCTGGGTGGACAGAGAGGGCGTGAGAGCGGGAAATAGCAGCCTGAGGTGCCCAGGGGTGGGGTCTCCTGGCTCCAGGACAAGCCCATGGCTCACTGGACTCTGCATCACGTGGAGCGGGGACTGCGTCTGTAGGCAGGGCAGGGCTGGGCAGTGCTCGCACAGGTCCACGGTTAGTCCAGATATTCACGTCCAGACGTTTACGTTTGCTTATAGTGGGTAATTTCCTACAAGCTCTGATGTAGTTAAGGTTTTGTATTTCACTAAAGCCATAGTTGCGGACCCTTTCATCTGAAGCCTCTGCACAATCTTGTCTTCCTTGGTTTGGAGCCATGATGCTCTGACTGTAGGGTAGTGGGCCTAGTGTGACCCACACTCCTAGGTTTGAACCTATGGTTGCCCAGAAACTTAGTGTCTTCTATAGTCTTGGGTTAAGGAGAACAGCACCAGTGCATAGACCTTTTTGAGGGCCAGGTGAATACTACCTAGGGACCTGGAAAAGCCATTTTCTGATTCTTGAGAAGTGGTCGGTGTGGTAGGATGTGGTAGGAGGTATGTGGCAGGTGAGAACTGCACAGGCAGAGAGGCCTTTTTTGGACAGAAACGGTTTCAGCTGCTGGCAGAAGTAGAAGCGAATGGCCCAGGGTTAAGGGTGTTGTGGGGTAATGGGTTAGAAGAGTTGGAAGGTGGCAGGGCAGCGGCCAAGGAGTAGAAGAGGAGAGAATTACAAGGGGAGGTGGGGACTGTGGAGAGCGGTTGGACTGGTGAAGGGACCCAGTTGGGGGAAGGGAGGGCTCAGAGGAGGTGGAAGGAAAGGACCCAAGAGAAAGGTGTGCTGATAAGTGAGGAGTAGGGGCCCCAGGCACAGTGCCTCTCAGGAGGCTGGAGGGGTGGTGAGTGCTCAACTGTGGACCTGTCATCCAGAGGTGTACTGTGCTCCTGGGAGCTGGCAAAGGCTGGGAAGAGGAGATGCCCTGTGGGTCATTAAATAGGAGGTTTCTAAGGCTCACACTTATATTTTGGCATAGTAGTTAATCTTCATGCTATTTTTCTTTTAGTAATAATGGACAAATACCAGGAGCAGCCTCACCTGTTGGATCCACACCTTGGTAAGCATCAGAGTTGATGATTTTGATAGTTCATTTACAGATGACCACAGGTGCCTTGTACACCATGCTGGTGCCTATGTGTGGGCTGCAGAAGAAGGTGTCAGGATGAACCAGGTGTGGTGGCATACATCTGTATCCTCAGCGCTGTGAGAAACTTAGGCAGGAAGGATTGAAAGTTTTAACACATCCTGGGCAACTTAGTGACTAGACAAAACCCTTTCTCAAATTAAAAAAGGGACTGTAGATGTAGCTCAGTGCAAAAGTCCTGAGTTCAATACCTAGTACTGAAAAAAAAAGAGAGCAGTCAGGATTGAGTGTCCAAAGTGCCATGTCTTACTTGACAGCAGGCCCAGTTAGTTGGTTTTAGAACTGTGATGGTGGCCTGAGGTTTAAGTGTTGTTCTGGGCTGTGCGCAGATGTGTCTGAGTTACTTTCTCCTTGCTTCCCTTTAAGTAGCATGTCTGCTCTTGTGTCTATGTTATGTCTGGTTGCTTCTCTGGTAGTTACCACACAGGATCAAGTGCTTCACAGAAGTTGCTATGTCACCCTGACAGTGGTAAAGGAGAGCTTTTGTCCCTTCCATTCTACAGATGGAGACATTGAGGCTTGGCTTTACTACTTTAGCATAAGGGGAGTGATTTTGTTTGTTTTTCATTATTTATATTTGACCTCCTTTTTTACTGATTATTTTGGTAACTATAAAATAACATGTTTCCCTGGCAGTAAACTTGGGAAGGAACATGGTAGCCGTGCTCACCAGGTTGAGAAGTGGCACCTGGGCAGGCATGTGGACTAATACCCAGTTTCTCTGCAAGGTGTCAGCTGCTCCATGCCTGTGTGTCCTCACTGTAAACTGGGGTAGCAACACTGTGTGTCTCTCAGGATGTGGAGAACTATGTGTGAGCCATTAAGGGGCCCTTCTGGCACATACATGTTTGTAGTTGGGCTGTGTATGCCGAGTTTTCCTTTTGCTTCTAGTCACAGGATTGTCCACGAGTGTTTTGAATCCACTTTTGTCTTAGGCAAAACAAGCTCCTTTTCAGTCTTTAAAATTATTTTTTTATTATTTTATTTTTACTAGTATATGTTTGCAGTACAAAATGATTACATTCATCATGGGGAGTTGGTACATGTGCATAGCATGTCTTAATTCTTTCTATGTTTACTTCTCCTTTCTTCTCCTTTTTAGTCTTGGTTGGTTGTTCGTCTCCTCCATCTGTATAGTTGATTGTGTATTTGTACCTATTCAGTTTTTTTTTTTTTTTGGTACTGAGAATCAAACTCAGGACCTTGCACTTATCAGGCCAGCCCCAGCCCTATTCAGTTTTTTTTTTTGTTGTTGTTGTTGTTTTGGGATAGGGTCTTGCTGTATAGTTTAGGCTGACCTTAAATTCACTATGTAGCTTAGGCTGGCCTCGAACTCTTGGCGATCTTCCTGCTCAGCCTCCTGAGTGCTGGAATCACAGGTGTGCATCACCATGTCTGGCTCACTCTTTGTATCTTTGCTTTGCTCTAAGTGCTTGTCTTGGTTCTTCTCTTCTCTCTTTGCTGTGACAAAATACCTGACACCCACAATTAAGAAAGAAAACGTTTATTTAGCTCACAGTTTGAGGAGGTTTCAGTCCATACTCAACTGACTCCAAGGCAGGGTGGCACATGGCAGAGGGCAACAGTTCATAGTGGTGGAAGACAGCAGAAGCAGCAAGAGCAAAAGGGAGGAATGGTGGCAAGCAGCCTCTTTCCCTCCCTTGAATTGTAAGCAAACTATCTGCCCCAGGGTGGGTATATCACTTACATCCATAATTCCTTCCCTTGTATTGTATGCAGGCTACCCACCTTGCCACATCCAGTGCAGGGTAGGTAGCACTCATACCCATAATTCCAGCATTTATACCCATAATCCCATTGGATTATGAGTCAATCAAAAACTCTAGAAGCCCGCCTCATGACTACATGAGGGTTTGGGAGGACATCTAGCCACAAACCATAGCATTCCACCCCTGGACTCCCAAAGACTGATGCTCATCCCTTTATGCAAAAGGCATTTTAGTCCATCTTCAAGAGTTGCCAAAGTCCTAACAGTTTCAGCATTGCTGAAAAGTCTCAAGTCCGGAGTCTTCTCTGAGATTTAAGGCAAACTCTTAGCTGTGAGCCCCTGTACAAATGAAAAGTTAAACAGTTCCAACATTCAATGGCATAAGATAAATATTACCATTCTAAAAAGTATAAGCAGGAGGATACAAAGCATTGGGTTCAAAGCAAGTCCAACATCCAACAGGGCTAATATTATGTCCTGTAGTTCCATGTGGAACATCTGAAGTAATCTGTGGTAAATTGTGAGCTCCAGAGGGCTTGTGTGACTCCGCCCCATGGCACTTTTGGTAGTTACAGCTCCCATGGCTTCTCTTTTAGGCCCATTTTGCAGCTTTTCTTAGACTATCCACATTTCTGGCTTTTCCAACCTTCTGAGGTCTCCAGTGCACTTTAGGCTTCTCACAGCTTCACACACTGCCCTTTTAGGGCGACACTGCCTGGCCAATCAGGCCTTCTGAAATCTAGGTGGAAACCTTCTTAACCTCAGAACTCTTGCATTCTGCATGCACCTAAAAGCAGCGCTGTGTGGATGATGCCAAGATTTGCTACCAGCTGGAGCAGTAGCCAGGCTTTCTTCTTTCTTGGCTGTAGGGGTTGAGTGCTTGGATCACTGAGCACTCTGAACCTGATTCTGAGGAACAGATTCTCTATGCTGCTGCCATGCTGGAACCTGGTGCGGCTGCCACCATTCTGGCACATGGTGTGGCCACCATGATTCTGGAACATTGCACTTTGTGGCTTTTTCCTCAGAGCAAAGTCTTTCATCTTTGCAGGTTTGAGGCTGCAAAGGGTGGAGACTTGCTGCTTCTTGTGATGCCCTCAGGCCATCTTTTATATTCTCCTGTTCCTATTCAGCAGTTGAGATCTCCTCAGCTCCGTCTTTGCAATCCACAGCTTTATTGGAGCTTCCTTTCTGGCCAAACTCAGAATATTTTAAATCCTGCTGGGCTCTTTGCTCTTGATTTGCAATGTAAATCTGGTTAAAAGCTCCCAACAATAGCTATGTCACTGCCTCGGTGTTCCATTGCCTTGAAATTTCTCTTCTAGATTAATTAGTCTGCCACCCTTAATCTCAGTCTCAGGCAAAGTTTCTGGACATGAGCAAAATGCAGACAAACTTTTAGCCAAGTCACAACACACATCATCTGGAGTCCAGCACTCAATACAGTTTTCTTCCCAGCAGAAACCTCCTGAACCTGGTCTTTACCAGCAAGATTTCTGTCAGGTGTCCTGAGCTCTGACCAGAATCTCCTATACACAATAGCCGAAGGTGTTCTAGTGCTTCTCTTTCGGGTGAACTCTCCAAACCTTTCCAAACACTTCCCACAAGCCATTTCCAAAGGCTGTTGAACCACATGGTCAGGTGTAGTCACAGCAGTGACGCCACTCCTGGTACCAAATTCTGTCTTGGTTATTGTTCTCTTATTGCTGGGACAAAATATCCGATTCCCAGAATTAAGGAAGGAAAGGTTTGTTTAGCTCAGAGTTTGTGGAGGTTTCAGTCTATACTCAGCAGACTCCAAGGCAGGGTGGCAACAGTTCGTGGTGGCAGAAAACAGCAGAAGCAACAAGAACAAATAGGGAGGAGCAGTAGAGAGCAAGCCTCTTTCCTTCCCTTATATTGTATGTAGGCTACCAACCCTGCTTGATCCGTCTAGGGTTAGCGCTCGCACCCATAATCCCAGCACTCACACTCATAATCCAGTTGGACCATGAGTCAATCAGAAACTCTAGAAGCCTGCCCCATGACTGCATGAGGTGTTGGGGGGACATCTAGACACAAACCATAACAGTGATTTTTAAAAGGATTTGACTAACTTAATCACTGCAGTAGCCTCCCTGTGGAAGGTCAGTTATTACCTACCACACTTTACAGTTTGGGAGCTGCGGCACAGCTCTGAAAGGTTGAGTAACTTGCCCTAGCTCACACAGCTGGTGGGTATGCAGCTAAGATTTAAATTATGATGGTCCACTGCAGACCTTGTGCTTTGCTGTACTGAAGGTGGGGTCTGGAGGGCCAGCTGCAGAGAAGTTGTTGTACTTTTTTCTCATTGTGAAGACAGAAGACCTGACACCCAAAGTTAAAGGAGAAAAGGTTTGTTTAGCTCACAGTTTGTAGAGGTTTCAGTCTGTAATCAGCTGGCTCCAAGGCAGGGTGGTGTGGCAGACAAGCATGGCAGAGGAGAACGAGTCCATGGTGGGCAAAACATAGCAAAACAACAAGGGCTGAGCACAGCTCTTTTTTTATTTCAGCTTTTGTTTTGTTGGTCTTGTTTTGTTTTGGTACCGGGAATTGAACTCAGGACCTTGCGCTTGCCAGACAGGCGCTTGTGCCTCTGAGGTATATCCCCGGCAAGACAGCTTTTTTTTAGTACATGTTTGCAGCACATAATGATTATATTCATTGTAGGGAGTTGGTACATGTACATAACACATCTCAGTTCTTTTTTTTTCCCCCTTTTCCCTCCACTCCTGTTTTTTAAAGGCTTTTCTTGCCTGCTTAAGATTTATTTATTTTGTAAGTCTTTATCAGGTTAAATATCATCAGCACAGATTAATAGCCAGACTAACAGGCCAAAAAACACATAAAATGCACAAAGAATTATACTGAATCAGGGTACATTTTTAGCTACATTGTCCATGCTGGATTATAATAACTTTTCTCTTTCTTCTTTTTTCCTATTGTCTTTTATTTTTCACTTTATTTACATTGAGCTTCTCATAAGAGAAACCAAGTGATACTCCTGCTTGTGTGTCTGATTTACTTCACTTACCATGTGGTTTCAGATGCATCCATTTTCCTACAAATGACTCAGGTTTATCCTTCTTTATGGCAGAGTAGTACTCCATTGTATATAAATATTGTATTTTCTTTAACTATCTGTTTGTAGACATATAGACTGCTC